CAGTATATGGACTCTTTAACGTCAGTAAACATTTCCAAATTGCTGTCCACATTCTTGCCAACATGCTATGTAAACAGACTTTTAAACTTTTTGATGGTATGATGAAAGTAAAAAGTTATTTCTTAAAATTATTCCTTCAAAAGTTTTCACTATGGATATTTCTTTATTTTTTCATATGAATGTAAGGAATAGGTCCCTTGAAAAATACTGCTGATTTCATTTTCCTTTCCCTGATTAACATGTTTTTGGCCTTTCATGTTTCTTTTCTCTGTAAATATCATATTCATGTCCTTTGCCCATTTTTCCATTGTTTTGGTATTATTAATAAGTAGGAGTACTACATCTTTGTTATATGCCTTTTCACTTTGTGTTTGATGACCGCTTTTAACAGCGGTTTTAAAATTTTAATCAAATGTATTAGTCTTTTCCTGTATGATTTATATTTTTGTGTTGCTTTTCCTATCTTGTTCAGTAAATCATTCTCTACCTTCAGGTCATTAAGTCGTTCTCCCATGTTTTCTTCTAAAAGTTTAAGATTTGCTTTTCACATTTCTTTCTTTCATCCATCTAGATTCGATTTAGGGACTCTGTGAGATTCAAGCCTAACTCTATTATCATATGGATACCCAACTGTCCCACCATTGTTTATTGAACCATGGTATCTGTTTTGCTTATTTATAAAATAAGCAAAATACCAAGTGCCATGTATACGTTTGTGTCCGGGCTTTCTGTTACTGCTAGGTTTACCTGTGCCTAAAGCAATATTGCACTTTTAATTACTATAGCTTTATTACAAAGTCTCCTCTCACAATTGTGGTTCTTCAAAATTGTATTGACTTTTCTTTGTTTTTTGTTTGTTTGTTTTTAATCTATCAAAGAAATTTCAAAACTAACTTCTGGAATTGTATTGCTTGGTAGATTAATTTGTGAGAATATATTCATTTCCTTTTTAAAATAACCTTTATTGAAATATACAGAATTATGTGCAAATCATAAGTGTACAGCTTAGTGAATTTTCACAAAGTGTACCCATTTAAGTATCCCCCAACCAGGTCGAGAAGTAAAACAATAGAATGGAAATGAACACATTCTAAAAGCTCCACTTGTAGAGTATGAGAGGGCCTCCCAATAGCTACTTCCACCCTGAAAGGTAATAACTGTCCTAATTTCTTCTACCAAAGAATAATAATTTTGGTTATTTTTGCTTGTTTTTGAGCCTTATATTAATAGAGACATACAATATAGACTCTTTGTGTCTGGCTTCTTTGATTCAACATTGGTTTTATACAGTTCATCCATATTTTTTGCATATTATTTATTTCCATTGTCATAGAGTATTTCATTGTATAAATACATGGTAACTTTTCTGTTCTATTGATAAACATTTGAGTTACTTCCAATTTAGTACTATTATGAAAAGTATTACTGTGAACATTCTTTTACATTTTTTTTAAATATACATCATATACATTTCTGTTAGACATGTACCTAAGAGCAGAATTGTTCAGATATGTTTACTTTCAGCTATAATAGATTCTGCCAAACAGTTCTCCAAAATAGGGTACAATTTACTTCCCCAGTAGCAGTATATAAAAATTCTGGTTGTTTTGCATCTTTGCCAAAGCTTAATACTGGCAGTTTTTGGTTTTAACTTTAGCCATTTAGTGAAGTGATGTGGTCTCTCTGATTTGGTTTACATTTTCTTAATGATTTGAAGTAGAATGTCATCTTACTGGCCATTTGTGTTTTTTCTCTTGTCATTCATTCATTCATTCATTCATTCATTCAGGCTGCATTGGGTCTTTAGTTGTGGCACTGCGAGGTCTTTGTTGTGGCCTGTGGGATCTTGCACTGCAGCACATGGGCTTCTGTCTAGTTGTGGCTTGCAGGTTTTCTCTCTGTAGTTTGCGGCATGCAGGGCTCTCTAGTTGAGGCGCTCAACAAGCTCAGCAGTTGTGGAGTGTGAGCTTAGTTGCCCCATGGCATGTGGGACCCTAGTTCCCCAACCAGGGATTGAACCCGCGTCCCCTGCATTGCAGGATGGACTCTTTACCACTGGACCACCAGGGAAGTCCCTCTCTTGTCATTTAAAAAATTTTTTTTCAGCCATATTTCTTGAGGTTGTCTTTCTTTTGATTTGTGGGAGTTCGTTATGTATACTGTATTCAAGTCTTTGGGAAATACTTAGTACATATATCTTCTATTCCATAATTTTTCATTCTCTTAATGACATCTTTTAATGAATAAAAGTTCTTAATTTTAATGTACTCTAATTTTCAGCGTTTTTCTTTACAGTTAAGTGTGATTCATGATCAGCTTATGAAATCTTCGTCTACCCCAAGGTCATATGTTATTGTCTAATAACCTTATAGTTTTTCCCTGTCCTTCAAATCTGTAATCCACCTGGAATTGATTTTTATGATGTAACTTAAGAAATCAAGATTTTAAATTTTTCTATATGGATATCTTTTTGACTCAGCACCAGTTATTAAAAGGATCATCCTTTGTCCACTGTGCTACAGTGTCACTTTTGTTGTAAGTCAGGAAACTGTATACATGTCAGTCTGTTCTGGACTGTATTCTGTTCCACTGGTCTATTTGTGTCTGTGCCGGAATCACACCAGTTTAATTATTGTAGCATTACAATATTGAGCCTTCTAGTCTATGAACATGGCGCGTTCTTTAATTTACTTAGGCCTTCTTTAATTTCTTTCAATAATGTTTTGTAGTTTTCTCTTTAGAAGTCTTGGTCATTTTGTTAGGTTTATTCCTAGGCATTTGATTTCTTTTGATACTATGGTAAATTATATCATTTAATATTTAAAATTTGTAATTACTTTTTGCTAAAATGTAGAAATAAAGTTGGCATTTGAATACTGAACTTATGCCCAGAGCTCTTGCTCAATTCATTTGTCAGTTCTAATAATTTTCATAGATTACTTTAGATATTTCTGGAAACACAGTTTTTCCTGTATGTATATTCCTTTATGTAGGAATAATGACAGTTTCATAACTTCATGATTTTCTTTGCAATTCTTATACCTTTTATTTCCTTTCCTGCAATTTTTTAAATGAATGGATATTGAATTTTATCAAATGCTTTGTGTGTGTCATTGGAGAGCATCACATGATTTCTTTATTCTGTTAATGTGGTGAATTACATTGATTGGCTTTTGAATATTAAACCAACCTTATATTCCTCAAAAATTCTAAATGGTTTGTATATCCTTGGATTGTCTTATTAGTATTTTATTAAGGAGTCTTGCATATATTATATATTTATGGATGAAACTGACCTGTATTTTTTTTTTTCTTGTAATGCTCTTGTCAGGTTTCGATGTCAAGATTATGTTGGCTTTCTGAAATGATTTGGGAAGAGGTCCCTCTTGTTCTCTTCTCTAGAAGAGTTTTTGTAAGATTGGTGCTATTTCTTTCTTATATATTTACAAGAATTCAGTGGGGAAGTTATCTGGGTTTGGGGTTTCTCTTTTGGAAGGGCTTTTAATTACAGATTTAATTCTTTAATAGGTATAGGATTATTCAGATTTTCTATTGTATAATTTCTGTCAATTTTAAAAAAGAAATCTGTTCATTTAATTTGAATTTTCAAAACATTTCATATGCCAAATGTTCATTTGTTTATAATAGGCTTATTGTTTTTTAACATCTTTAGGAGAATTTTTAAAATTTTAATCATAAGTTTTATCATTCTTGTACCAAGTTTGTTTCCTTTGCTCTTACTGTGCTAGGCTCTTTCTGTTCCAAGAAACACAGATTCACTCAAGTTCCTTCAAGTAATGGAGATTCATGAGGCTCATTATAAAGCCATATGTAATCCTAAGAGAAAGGAATCACACAGGAAGAGCAAGATCTCTAGTATACCTTGGCTTTAGGGAGACTGGAAATGTATGGTTAATGAGGATATGGGACATCTTTAGAGACGGGAACAGGTTTACTTTTTAATACCTTTAATAGTAAGACTCTAATGCTTTACTCTAATGCCCCCATTATTTGCATGAAGTTTCTTAATTCCCCTTGGCTCTTCTGTATTTTTTCTTTCCCTGCCCTACCTTTTGGTTACTCATAACTTCTTACTCATGGTCCCCAGTGCCTTGCAGCCTCATTTTGTGTTTCTTTTCAACCTCTCCTCCAGTTTGGCTGAACCTCTCCATGGTTCTCGATTTCGGCTCCCAAGAGATTAGTTGAGTAGTTTCAGAAGACTGGTTTAGGAAGCCACCTCTTAGGCTGTTGGTCAGTTACCTCTTGACCAGGCAGGTATTGCCAAGAGTGGTGGGTCCACACAGCATAGCACATGGATGCCTTAGGCTAACTCCTCTGCAGAGGGCTGCAGCTGGACAGTTTCTCTTAGGATGAGTCTATACATGGCAAGTACTAGAATTAGTTAATACAGGTAAGTTCTAGAAATTAAATCATTGCAAGTGTTGCAGCTTTTCTCCCATTTTCACTTATTCTGGTGAAATACCAGTGAGTAATTAAATCCTGATAAAACCAATATCTAGAATTTGGTGTTATCCATCCCTTTAGCAGTTATCCCTCTTTAACTGAAAATATTCATGTGCTACCAACCCAGATTAGGGCTTTCTGCAATTAGATGTGTAATACCTATAATTTTAGTATGGACAAATGGAAATTGATAGATTTTCAATGTAAGTAATATAAAAAACAGACATAGGAAGATTAATGATTATTTAAAGAGAAAGCCATAGTATTTATCTCGTTTAGGTTGCTTCTTGTTATTTCCTTTTTTAAGTCCAGAAACAACCATGTGTGCTGCTAAGACTTCACTGTTCTGTAATAGCACAGTTCAAGTTGAAGACAAA